TACCTCTGAGCCCCGCTGCTCAGCTGTCTGCCTGTGATCCGCCAGCCCTACCCAGGCATCCCCAGTGGTCCCGGTGGTCTCACCGCCCAGGTGGTCCCTAGGCCCCATGTCCACTCATGTGCCTGCAGGTCATCTGTTACGTCTACTTCACGCGGATCATTGCCATCCTGCTGCAGGTGGCCGTGCCCTTCCAGTGGCAGTGGCTGTACCAGGTGAGCATAGGAGGAGGGTGGGCCGGACAGTGGAGGTTGCGGGGGGGACAGGGTGTGTGCCTGACACCCCCACTCTGCCCCTTTGCCCCCCAGCTCTTGGTGGAGGGCTCCACTCTCGCCTTCTTCGTGCTCACGGGCTACAAGTTCCAGCCTGCTGGTGACAACCCGTACCTGCAGCTGCCTCAGGAGGAAGCGGAGGACGTGCAAATGGAGCAAGTGTGAGCTGCAGGCTGCAGTGGGCAGGGCTCCGGTGGACTGGGCGAGGCCCCTGGTGAAGTGGGCGAGGCCAGAGGCTCTGAGGGTGGATTGGGTGGGGGCCGGGGGCAGGGCCTGGCACCCCTCGGCTACTGGAGTATGTCCTTGCTGTCTCCCTCTAGAGTGACCGATTCCGGGTTCCGGGAAGGCCTGTCCAAAGTCAACAAAACAGCCAGTGGGCGGGAGCTGTTGTGATCATCCCCCATCTCTGACTGACCGACCGTGCTCCTTTGTCCTCCTTTGCTCATACACATTCCTCACTCCAGCTTCTCTCCAAAATTGAGAGGGATGAGTAGGAGGGGGACTGGTGTGCATAAGGCTCCCAGAGGCCTGTTCATCTGAACCCCGCTGCTCAGCCCTCTGCCTATGATCCACGGGCCCCAACCCAGGCATCGCAGTGGTCCTGGTGGTCTCACCGGCCCTGTGATCCCTAGGCCCCAGGTCCCTACAGCCTCCTTTCCCCCAAGCATGGGGCATCCCTGTTCCCGTTCAGGACCACCCCCCACTTGCAGTTGTACAATAATGTTTTGTTGTTTTTTTGCTACCCTGGTTTCTTGCCTTTTTGGGGGTTGAGGTCTGACACAGAGGTTGTATTTACAGTTTAGAAACTTATACTCAATTGGGGGTGTGTTGCAGTATCCGTTGCTTTACACAGGCAATAAATATTAATTGAGCAACTGTTGTGTGCCGGACCTATGCCAGGTGCTAAGAACAGAGCAGTGCCCAAGACACATCCAGTTCCATCATTCAAGGGGCTCATAGTCCTGGTGGGTGGAAATTGGGAAGGGGATTAGGAGAGGGACTTGTCATCAGACAGTTCCATCACAGGGCCCTGACCCAGCCTGGGAGTCTGAGAAGGTGAACAGAAAAATGGGAAGGATGCTGGCCCAGATGAAACAACATCTGCAAAGGCTGTAGGTGAGAAAAAAGTGGCGATTGAAAGACCCACAAGTGGGCCGGCCGAGTGGCGCGATGGTTAAGAACTGGCTTGGGANGCTGTTCTTTTCCAGAGAAGGGAGCAGGAAGAGACACTCCCTTGCAGGGTGGCTGCAGTGGAGACAGGGTGGGACTGGGTTGGTAGGAGGTGGTAACCAAGGCTCCCTCTTACTCCCCAGACCCAGGACCCCAACGAATGTCCTCTCCAGAAAAACAGTAGCAATCTTCTGGCTCTATTCCTTATCAACACCAAGGATCTGCAGTGAGTTGCGGGGGAGGGGGAGCGGCCAGGGGCTCCCCTAAAGACCCATCATTTATATTTTTCTGGGTGTGATCAGGCGGAATGTGAACCCAGCTGAAAAGAACTTTTTTGCTCTTAGGAAGAAAGCTACTTGCTTTTTAATTTCCCTTCCAGGCCTTCTGATTATGACAAGGAGGGAGAGTGGGGAGGGGTGCCCAGGGAGTGTTGGGGTCTCAGGGTAGGAGATGTGGACACAGGGATGTTGAGGACATCCATAACAATCATTCATACTTAATGCTTCCTATGCAGCGGGCAGCTTGTGCTGTGAGCTTTACAGGTGTAAACTCTTGATTCCTTATGCCGTTACCCCCATTCTAAAGATGAGAAAAACTAGGCTCAAGAACTGGGATTTGGACCCAGGCAGCCTGGCACCAGGGTCCAGTGGTACCTCGGTATATGCAGAGCTGTTACCTGTCTATACATACAGCGTTTTCCTTTTTAAATAAGGGACTTTGTAGAATGAGCAAGACACTGTCACAGAAAAGACAAATAATCGCTAGTACAGGTAGCACATGGATGGGACAGCCACCTTGATAGGGGGTGGTCAAATGATGGAACTTTGTGACCACTGATTCAGCCCACTGCTGGACCCCAGAAAGGAGACCAGAGGGCCCAAGGGGCCATTGAATCCCTCACTGACTGAAGCCTTTAGCCTCCTGGCCTCATCTTCCCCCTGCCCCCCACCCTCATCCCAGGGTCCAGGTGCGAAAGTATGGGGAGCAGAAGAAGCTATTTATCTCCCCTGGGCTCCTCCCTGAAATGCCATCCGAACCAGGACTCCCAAAGCCAGAGCACACAGTCACACCCAAGAATGACAGCGGTGAGGCAGGCTGGCGGTGCGGGCAGGGAGGGGTGGGTGGCAGGGCTACTCTGCACATCCCCCCATTTTTCTGCTTTCCCTCTGTCCGTCCATCTCTAAACTCATCTACTCATCCCCTGTAGGGACCACCACTGTGCTCGACAAGGTAAAGTCAAAGCCTGCAGCATCCCAAGGAGACCAGCAGGTTCGAGGAAGCCCGGGCAGGAGGGAGGAACGCCTTGGGGAGAGGGGGTGGCTGATGTTCACTGTATGTGCTCTGTCCCCTCAGGGCCTCACTGGGCAGGAAAAGGAGCTGGTGTTGGGCCTGGGCCATCACAACAGTTCCTACAACTTCAGCGTGAGTGTCTGTGAGCGCCCACGGTGCCCCCTTGCCCCAGAGCGGGGGACTCCCAAGCTGAAGCCCCCTCTCCCCTCTGTCTGCCCCACCACCCAGTTCCATGTGGTGATCGGCTCAAGGGCCGAGGAAGGCCAGTACAGCCTCAGTTTCCACAACTGCTACAACCTGATGCGGGGACAGGAGCAGCCATTCGACATGACAGTGAGCGGACAGGAGGGCAGCAGGTTAAAGGGGCCCTAACTACCGGCCAGGTGCAGATGCCCAGTTTGGCTTTATCACATCCTCTCCCGGTGGCCATGCCGTGAAATGAAAGCTCATGTACCGCTTTGGGAGATGGGAAGCCTGAGACTCAGAGAGGGGGAGAACTGGAGTCTCCCACTCACGGCTCTGCAAGTCCACAGCTGGCGTCCATCCCCTATTGCCCCCTCCCCAGGTAATGATCCGAGAGAAAAACCCTGAGGGCTTCCTGTCAGCGTCGGAAATTCCCCTTTTCAAGCTCTACATGGTCATGTCTGCCTGCTTCCTGGCTGCCGGCATCTTCTGGGTGTCTGTCCTCTGCAAGAACACGTAATGCCCTTGCCCCTGCGGGTCCCCCACCTCGCCTGCCAAGCCCCCATCCCTGCCCCTGACTGATGCCCCCACATGCCCTTCTGTCCCTGACCCCCTGCCAGGTACAACGTGTTCAAGATCCACTGGCTCATGGCGGCCCTGGCTTTCACCAAGAGCATCTCGCTCCTTTTCCACAGTGTGAGAGCCGGGGCTGGGAGCAGGGGGTCGGGCTGGGGCCCCTGGGGTCCCTGGGTCAAAAAGCGGCCCAAACAGGCCACTTCCCAAATCTCTGAAGACCCTGGGCTTGGCAGTTCCATGTGTCCATCCACTTCATCTGTCTGCCTGTCATTCTGTCCAGCTGTGACTGTCCTCTGGACTGATTGTCTCACTGTCCATCATCTCACTATGCCCTTCCTCCATTGTTGTGACCGTGACTGCCCAGCCCTCAGTCTAGCCATCTGTTTGGCTGTGATGGTCCATTTCTGAGTCCACTCGCCGTCCTGGTCATAACTGTCAGTTTAGTCATCTTCCTGGCCCCCTATGGGACGGTGATGGTTCACGGTCCTAAGCCACCACCGTCCACCCATTTGGAACCACCGTCCCTCTGTCTGACTGTCATCCATCCATCCAACTGCAGATCAACTACTACTTCATCAACAGCCAGGTCCACCCCATCGAGGGCCTCGCTGTCATGCACTATATCACACACCTGTGAGTGACTTCTCCGGGCAGGTGGTGGGTGCAGGCAGGGGCGTCCTGGGCGTCCCATCTCACCACACTGTCTCCCCCTCCTCCAGGCTGAAGGGCGCGCTCCTCTTCATCACCATCGCCTTGATCGGCTCAGGCTGGGCCTTTGTCAAGTACGTCCTGTCTGACAAGGAGAAGAACATCTTCGGGGTCGTGATCCCGCTGCAGGTGCCTCTTGGGCCCCAGGTGGGCAGAGGGGTGGGCATGCCTGCTTGCATGGGGC